TGGTACATGGACACCGGCGCCACCCACCACATCGCCTCGGACCCAGGTACTCTTTCTCATGTTCATAATCATTCTTTAAATTCATCATCATATATCACAGTGGGTAATGGTTCTAAAGTTCGCACTACGACCACTGGTAACTACGTCCAATATAGATACTGGAATGTCTTCATGGGAAGAACCAAAATGGAATGCAACCCTGGACGGAATTACATAAAAATGGTGTGTTTGGTTTAGAAATTTGATAGGGAAAAGAAAAAAAATGATATGGAAAGCGATTTTCTTGTTTGGTTAGTAATGAAGAAAAGAAAGAAATGTGGAAAGAAAAAAAGCGTGGAAAGAAAAGAAAATGACAGCAAAAACTACATGTCTACACCAAGAAGAAAGAAAACAAGTTCCCTTCCATTTGGTGAGGAAAAGGAGAGAAATATTTCCTTCCCAATTCCTCAAATCAAACATAGCATAAGTTTTCGACGTGAAACTTCACCAGAACTTAGGTGATTCTCTTACCCAATCACACATGTTATGAATTTTTTTTCCTAAGATTGTGCGAGGAAAAAAGAAATTAATTACTCTGGTAATCTGGTATTAAATAACAAACAATAATGCATTCTTAGACTTGAGCTAGGGGAATTTACGCTTGCAATTATCAATTACTTTGGGAGGGAATGACACAATGTTACTAGAACCAGCAGAAGGATTGACATATATAGTTAAATAAAGCATTGTCTGAGTTGCATGAGCAATAAATGTACTAACCTGAGTGTTCATTGGAGGTATGGTGTGGCATTTGAGGCTTCAAATAGATATCCAAACTAGGGGAAGAAGACACTTCTGCCCTTCTCTTGTTCTTGAACCTACCTAACAGAGATGTGAGAGGTTAAAAGAATAAGATGAGGAATTACTTATCTTGTTGGAAGATTGAAAAATGTTGTGAGCCACATTTTTTCTTAAATACGAAAGGGGATATGTGTAAAGTTTATTTCGGGACAGATAAAAAAAGAAAGTGTGAATTTAATTTGGAGATGATGGGTAAACAAGCAGTTCAGTGAGCAAGACCTGTCCTTTCGCTTCTCAAGGTATCTCTTTACTGAGGCCTTCCTACTTCCTGACCCCTCAACTGCTGGGAAAGATATAAAAAATACAAAACAAGAAACCAACTAATAAAAAATTGGTGTATCATGTCCAAATATTTAACACACATGTCACAGGAAAGGAAAATCATTCAGACAGAAGCTTGTAAAGCAGGGCAGCAGGCAATGTGGAGGACAGGTATCTTACTAAGCTTTAGGCAACTAAATGATACTATAAATTTCATGCTACTGACCCCAACAATGTTGGGATTAAAGTGACGATGAGAGGCAAATATTAAATATGATCCATCAAACAAGAAATTTATCTGAACCATAAAAAAATAGTTTGCTAAGGTTGCAAAAAGTACGAGAAGACTGGTGAAAAGATTACCGGGATTATCTTCATAAAATGGACCACTGTCTTCCATTTGTACATGAGAGTTGCCACTTTTTTTAACTGTAAAAGTTATTAAAAATCATTGATCACTGGATATCTAAATTTGGCAAAATGGACTTCCACCACACGCCCAACACCAAACCCCACAAGTCCAAGATAAGGAAGACTTGCACTTGTTTCCAATAAAGAAGGATCCAGGAAAAATTATTTGTTTACAATAACATTACCCGTATGCCTAGGCAAGAACACAAGAGAAGAATCTTGACCTGCTTCAACATCTGAAGGATGTAAGTGGGAAACTAAATGTTGTGCTGGACAGTCAGGAGGCACATGGATTGGGCTTCCAGCAAGATGCATGATTGCCTGTACCTGTTAGTACATGAGTTACCTATATCAGAAAATGCTTTCAATCATGTGGCATCAACAATGATCTATGCTTACTTAAAGTTTAATAAAGATTCACTACCTTATCAGCGGGTACATCATCATAGACATTCACCTGGCCACAATAGAAGATTGTCATTTGTCCGACCAGAATATCCGTTAAACCAGATATTATCCTGTAAAGTGACGTCATTAGCAATATCAGTTAAATGATCACCATGCTCTTGAGGGTGTGGAAAATGGAAAATTCAAAAATGCAAGTTCCACGAAATCACCATGCTCTTGAGTATGTGGAAAATGGAAAATCCGGATCTAACTTAAATGTGCCAGTTTATGCAACATGGTTAGACTGTGACCATCTTCCACAAAATCCTCATGCACTATTAAATGCAATGCAAATGATGATAGACACAACAAATTTATCAGTTTCATATGTTATTTTGCAAAATTCAGAATAAAGTAATTGTTAAGCCTGCACAAGCACAACATATTAGTGTGATGTGAACGCATTCTTTATAGAATATCCATCTCAACATGGAAATCTCAAACTATCAAAAAGTGGAAAACAACATTTTCTTATTGATAGAAGGGAAAAACGGGATAGAAAGAGAGAGAGAGAAAAGCCTTGCAGGGCTAAATACAATTAGAAAAAGAGCACCCAAAAAACTGCCAAGGCTAGCATTCTACTAAATTTTATCGACCAGCAACCTAACTTATTCTTTTACTCTACTGCCAAACAAATGCTAGTCCATATATGTTGTCAGGGCAAGTATAGAGATAGAAGTATGATTGAAAATTGTTTAGAAGATACAAATATTGTGAGCCATGCATAGGGAAAGCTGTGTGGGATTATGCTAGGTTGTTGTTATGCTATTTGGAAAGCTAGAAACGAGATGATTTACCAACAAAGGGAGATGAAGATTGAAGATTGCATCAAATTGAATAAATTTTAAGTGAACACGCATATTAAATATAAAGCAAATAGGGTAGCATTCTCTAGTTACTTTAACTGTATTTTGTGTGTTCTTGATGTAATGAGATCTGTTTAGAAGTTGCTGTTGAGCTAATAAAGATGTGCTTTGTTCACACACAAAAAATTGCTTGGAAACCCTTTTTTTATTTGATATCACGTTAGTTTGGTTCAGAACATGGTCAGGCCAGTTAAAAAGCCCACCTATAAATCAAACAATAGTGTTAATGCATCCCATTACTCCATCCATCATGCAGAAATTATATGCTCAAACCAACATTAAATGATTAAATACCTCATACAGTTGAACAATCGAACCTAAGTTGCAAATTTCTCCTTCAGTGAATTCTTTCAAAGTCTTTACCACATCTCAGTCTCACTCTCCGTATTTTTGAGTTGAATCCACATTCCATTTATGTCTTACATTCATATAGCTTGAATTCGATACTGAACAAAGACCCTTACACGTGTGTTATTGTAAAGAGTAATTTAGAACAAACTCAATTCCCCCTCTCACACACTCTGTGATGCTATCTTATCACATCCTATATCAACTCAATATATGATACAATAGTCACACATACACTTTATCCCCTCACACACTATTGAGTTGATGAAAATTACTCTCTCCATCACACTATTTTTGGGACATGAGAGAGTGACACAAAATATAGGAAAAGTAAAATTGTGTGCTTGTTACTCCTAACTTTATTGATGTTAAAAAGTAAGATGGAGTAAGAATGAATAGGAATTATACAAATATGACCAAATAGTTTTAAAATAGTCCAAAAGAAGTGGTCGGGACTCTAGGGAGGGAGCAACACGGTTGTGGCCAAATGCAAATATATAAAAATTCTAAGCGAATCAGTGGGTACACAAGGTATGGCATGCTGCATTCTCATTTCAGTTATTTATTCAAACCATGTGTATGCATAATCCATATAAAACAAGCTGTGACAGAGAAGGTTAACCTGGATTGAGCTGACTTGTTGGCAGCAGCTGCTGGAGGGGCTGGGGTTTGACCAGAAATATTAGGCTTCTCTACATCATTTCTACTGGTCCAAACAACTTCTTCTGCAGAATCTGAGATTTCTGCTTCGGCAACAGCTACTTGCGGGGCCTGCTTTGCCTTTGCTCATTAGCAAAATAACAAATTATGCATTTACTCGTAGACAACATTGAATCCATAGCTGGAAAACTCTATATGCCACCTAAAGTGAAAACCTTTTTTTTTGAAAGACCAAGAATGAAAAGTTAAAAAGGCTGAGAATGATCGAATAAACGCACACGGGCCACATTAGCAGTAGCGACGGGAGGAATGTACAGCCTCTTGCTAGCACCGGAATGGGAATCCGGCGACGGTTCTCGGAGCCTCTTCAGCGATATCACTTGCTGAATTGCCTGTGATTTGTTCCAGGAAGGCCTTCTCATACCTGTACGGATATTTTCAGCGCGAGCATTATAATCACTTACAGTACTAAAATTTCTAGCTGCTTCGGAAAATTGCAGAGGGATAGGGCGTAGTCGTACCATTCTTTTTGAGGTAAAGGCGGCAATCTTCGCGAGTGAGTTGAGAAATGTCTTCTTCAGTGAGCTGATCGAGCGGCTTGTCCAGAGGTGACTTCGACGCCGCCTCTCCGGAGGTCATGACGTCAGATTCCGGCATCAAATTTGTAGAAAACACCCGAATTCTGGGCCGACGGGAGGAGTTTCAATGAGTTGAGCGAGTGGAGGGGAACGAGTTAAATTAGGCTTTTGAGATTTAAGAATGAATTTTTAGTCGGGTTGAGTGGGGATTTTGTTTCTGAAACCCCAACGTCGCCGTTTTGTGTTCGGGTTGGTCGGGTCTTTCCTCAACTTGCACATTATTTCATTGGAGCATGCTACATATATCCCATATTTGTATCCCACTTTGTACTTAAAGCATTACCCTGACATTAAATGTAGGTACAATATTGGTATGATAATAGTTTTGCAGTATCAGGGTAATGCTTTGAGATACAAAGTGGGGTACATGTAACATTTTTCTATTTCATTTTATGAACAACATAAAAAAGTTTGAACTTTTTGTAAAAGTGAAGACTAATGTAAAATTGTATGTATATGATGACAATAATGGTTACTATACACTGATCAAAATATCGATGATTTCCCACCCACCTAATCACCTCTTTAACCTTGTGTCTCTCACCTTCCCGCCCCTGCACGGTTTCCGATCTACGATTTAAACGGGGAGGCAATGGAGATAGAAACTATTAATTTTTTGAACAAATCATCGTAGTTATTATTGTCATAATATGATCACAATTTTTGTTGTCAAAATAATCCCACCGTAAATACATTATATATTACGAAGTGATTACTTCAAATGAAATGTTACGAAATTATTTTATGCGTATGGGACTGGGCCACGGGCGTGCTCGAACATCACAACCCACACCCGACACTCTAGGGCCATATGGGCCCCGTAAGTTAAGGGTTGAGATAGCCCGTACATAGAAACTCAAGCACATGCTTTTTGGTTGGGTTTTTATGGGCCGAGTGGATACCTAGGTCTATGATCGGAGTCTATTGGTGACTATTGTTAGTAGGGAAATTTAAAAATAAGTGTCAGCATTCTCATACCTCCATTTCCAGTTCTTCATTTCTCTTACCTCTCATGGCCCCTTATTTGCAAACTTGAATTATTATTTATTTTCTCAAAATGAAAATATCCCAAAAAATAAAATCAACTTGTACAGCTTAGTAAAATTCAGTATTTTGTGCTTTTATATACTGTGTTGTTTGAGATTAATATAGAATTCGTAAAAATTGCACATTAGCACTTGACTAATATTGAAGCTCCATAGCAAGAATTTGGAGCATTGAACTTCAGCACTTGACATCAATACAAAACATTACATGTTTATTTTTTTAATATTTAATTATTTCAATATATATTTAACTTATGATCAAAACATTACACGATTCGATCAAAACGGTCAAATTCTAATGATTTTTTTAGACAAAGAGAGCACAATCCAAAAGGTTACAACCCATGAGAAGAGATGAACTCAATGCAAAAGCTTAATACAATCCAAACGATATACTCGTACAAAGCTTTTTTTGAAGGAATTAATTTTGAAGGAATTATATTTTTTTAAAGATGAACTCCTTGTAAAAGATATTTTTACATTGAGTTCATCTTTTATCATTAATTATAATGATATTTTTGAAGGAATTTTTTTTTGAAATTGCTTAAACTCATGTGACATTCTAGGGTCACCTTAAGATACAAAATATGTGTATCTTAACTCCCTTCCCACTAAAAATGCTCTATGACCCACTCCCACCAGTGTGTATTTTTTCACATGTGGCAACCTTTTGTCTTAAAAAATAAAAAGCATTCTTATAGTTTGAAAAAATACATGTAAAAGATATTTTTTTTTACATTCATGGACTAGAAATTTTTTACACCAACTATGGAGAGAGACATGAATCATGAATGTTTGGAATGAAAAAAAATCTACAAATGAGTACATCAATAAAGAATAAAAATTTCATATTAAAAAACTACGCTAAAAGTTCTACAAAATAAGATGTGACAAAATTATTTTATTTTATCAAATAATCAATGAAAATACAAGAGTAAAAAAAGTTATCGAAAGAAGCGAGAAAATAGAATAATAATTAAAATTTGAAAAGAAGAGAGTAATTGATTAGATGCAACAAAAAATACATATGACACAAAAAGTGAAGTGGATGGAAGAGAAAATTTAAAGAGACATTGGGAAGAATTTTTTTTCTCACCAACATTGGGGGTGATCTAAGAAAAAGAAAAGTGAAAAAGAAAAAGATAGGAAAAAGATAAACTTTACCAAACACGTAAAAGTGCAAGCTCGATGAAATTCTACTGGATTCTCATCAAAATCTCTGAACATTGATTTCAAATGTCATTCTAAAGTAATACTTCAACGCAGACAAGGTTTGCGGTCTACCTCACACTTTCCATTTCTGGTTTCTTGCTGTGTTTCGGATTTTGGTAAAGCTTCGATCTTTGGCTATAACAGTAGCATCCCAAGGTCCTGTTGGGTAAAGATTGTATTTTTAGGTAATGCCCAGATGGGGTTTTAATCTTGGCCTTGTATGTGAGTGTGAAAGCTGGATCTTGATCCTTAGGGTTGTGTTTGTGAATAGTTGCTGCTTTTAGGTCTTCTTTCTTTTTGGTCATTTCCCCCTCGGAGGGCAGATTAGAAGTAGCTAGAACCATCTGGTTGCTGTGGAGATCTGGGAGTTGCTCCATCTGTTATGTCCCATGAAGAACTTCTTCCCTTCAGATTCTTGCAGAGAAACTCAGCTAAAAGCCATCAATCCACAGTCATGGCTCCAAGTAGAGAGGGGCAAACTTCCCAAATTCTCCTCTAGTTCTTCGTCTATGTAAGCTAAAACCTCAAACTTTTTCTTCTTCTTCTTGATGCATTCTCATTATATTCCTATTTTAGATGGTTTCCTATTCGAATTGTTGATCGAGGAGAATGTGTATTTTTGTCATTGTTTGTAGAGACTCTCTAATCAAGGTCACTCAACCTCCCATTTTACCACACTTCAAACCAGTCGACTATGTAGAAGTTTTATCCCAAATTCACGAAGAACTCGAGTTTTGCCCTCCAACCCAAAGGTCATACCTCCATCTTCTGCAGTTTCATGTGTTTAAGGGTCTGGGGGAAGCCAAATTAATGCAGAGAAGCCTTTGTTCTGCGTTCTTGAGAGCTGAAACTGTATACGATAAACTAATCTTTGGGGCATGGTTGAAATATGAGAAGCAAGGCCAAGATTTCATCCTTGACTTGGTGGAATCTTGTGGTAAATGTGCGAACGAGTTGTTTGGGGTGATAGATGTGGCTTCCGAGTTACCTCCCGTGAAATACTCAAACCCTCCTCCTGTATCTCATCGAAATTCCACCACTTCAAGAACAGTGGCATTTCAAATCGGGCATGAAAAAATCTTATGTGACCGTAAAAAGATTGCCACTCTTTCGTCCCCTTTTAGAGCAATGCTAAATGGTTGTTTTAAAGAATCGTATAGTGATGAAATAGATTTGTCCGAAAATGGCATTTCTCCAATGGCTTTTAAGCTGATAAGTGAATTTACCTTCACGAACACACTGGACATAGAAGTAACCTCAGACCTTTTGTTAGAAATATTGGTGTTTTCCAATAAGTTTTGTTGCGAAGGCCTCAAGGACACTTGTGATAGGAAGCTGTCTTCTCTGGTATCTTCTAGAAGGGACGCCGTGGACCTAATGGAGTGGGCCCTTCAAGAGGATGCCCCCGTCCTTGCTGCATCATGTTTGCAGGTCATCCTCCGCGACCTACCCGAGTCTCTGAATGACAGTCGGGTGGTTGAACTTTTAAGCCACACTAATAGTCAACAAAACTCAACAATGGCTGGTCCGGCTGTGTTTTCCCTTTACTGTTTCTTAAGTGAAGTGGCAATAGGGCTTGATCCGAGATCAGACACGGGTGCCCGTTTCTTGAAACGGTTGGTCGACTGCTCGGAAACTGACCGGCAGAAGATGGTGGCTTGTCATCAATTGGGGTGCGTTAGATTCCTTAGAAAAGAATACAATGATGCCGAGGTTCACTTCCAAGCCGCATTTGACGCGGGCCATACTTATTCCATCGTTGGCTTGGCTAGAGTGATGGCTCACATCAAGGGTAGTAAAAGTTTGGCATATGAAAAACTAAGTTCAATAATATCTTCCACAAACGCCCTCGGATGGATGTACCAAGAGAGGTCATTGCATTGTGAAGGAAACGAAAGTTGGGATGATCTGGAGAGAGCGACCGAACTGGACCCGACATTGACTTACCCGTACATGTATCGGGCATCATCCTTCATGAGAAAACAAAATGTCCAAAACGCCCTCACGGAAATCAACCGGGTCATCGGATTCAAACTAGCATTGGAGTGTTTAGAGCTCAGGTTTTGTATCTACCTTGCTGTGGAAGACTACCAATCAGCCTTGTGTGACGTTCAAGCCATCCTTACCCTCTGTCCTGAGTATAGGATGTTCGAAGGGCGGGTCCCGGCATTTCAACTGCGCACGCTCGTGAGAGAACATGTTGAGGACTGGACTGAAGCAGACTGTTGGATGCAACTGTATGAACGGTGGTCATTGGTCGATGATATTGGATCCCTTTCGGTTATATATCAGATGCTTGAGTCTGATTCACCCAAAGGCGTGCTTTACTTCAGACAATCTCTACTCTTGCTCAGGTAATCATCAATTATATATGAACAATAATATTTTGTGACCTTGATTTATCCAACAATTTTAACTTTTTCTTTTTGTCGTGTACATCAGATTGAATTGTCCAGAAGCAGCAATGAGAAGTTTAGAGTTGGCTCGCCGGCATGCATCCAGTGATCATGAACGGCTAGTTTATGAGGGATGGATGTTATACGACACTGGTCATTGCGAAGAAGGCCTGAGAAAAGCAGACGAATCCATACGGATCAAACGGTCTTTCGAAGCATTTTTCTTGAAAGCTTATGCATTGGCTGATTCTAGCCTGGATCCATCCTGTTCTTCAACTGTCATTTCACTACTTGAGGAAGCTTTGAGGTGCCCTTCAGATAGGCTTCGCAAAGGTCAGGTACATTTCATCATCTTCCCTTGGGGGTTTGAGCATAGACACACACAAAAATGTGATCTACAACCATTCTAAAAGAAAGACTATGAATTAAATCTCCTGTCGCCAATT